GAAGACTGGAACTTGACTTGGTCCTTTTAATGTAGTTTCTTACAGTGAGATGGCCAAAATTAATGTTTTTAAAAATCTGTTCATGCAAAGCACAACTGAATTGGTCAAGTTTCACAATGTTGTTATTATTATTAAAACTCACTTTCTTTTCATTATTGAGGCAGGGGCTGGCTATGCCCCCCAAGCTGCTTGAACTAGCTATCCCGTTTCGGCCTCCCAAGTGCTGTAATTACAGGCAAGAGACACCATCCTTGTTTACTTCACTTTTATCACAAAGTTTCCAAACCCATTTACAACGGTAAATTTTACTTCTTAGGTAACAATAGGGCCCTTGTAACAAACATGGTCACACATATAACAATGTATCTAAAACGAACCTTTCAGAATATCTTCACAGAGGTAACTTAAAAGAATTCCTTAAAGTAAAAAGCCTCATTGATAATTGGTGTCACTTTGACAGACACATTGAACAAGCAAGAGATTGATAGATGTAGGTGGCAGTTGGTTTCCAGATCTGGACCTAAGCACTAATGTCAGGGACATAAACGCCAAAGCTATGTTATCCGAGACAGGAGTTAGGAGCCTATTGAGACTATTGAATATTAGGAATGGAACTAGCTTAAGTCAAGATGTGCTGTAAGTATACAGACACATGGAATTTTAAAGACACAGTACCAAAATTAGATAAAAGCTAGTTTACGAAGTTCAGATTAATTACAGGCTAGAACGGTAATATCAAGAATATATTGAGTTAAGTAGAGTATACTAAAATTAATGTCATCAGTCTGTTTAACTCACAACTTTAAAAACACTTAAGTGGTTTACACAGTATCACTGTTGGATAGGATGATCCCCCCTTTTTTTAAAAATCCAAAATAACTACTTTTTTGAAGGAGTGAAATATGGAAGATAAGAGGAGTAAGTAATCTGAGACCCGTGCATCAAGGAATCTGATCAGTCATGTGTTGCAGACAGCCAGGGAGGAAAGGATGGTTAGATTTGATGGTTTGGAGGATGTTGACCACTGAATTGTGACAGAGTGCATGTAAGATGAGCGGGTTTGAAAACCAGCTAGGGACAAGGCTCAAAAGTATTCTTTCAAGACAGTAAAAAAAATGTCAATGTTAGTAAGATTAGGGGAAGAAACTAGTGAATGGGGAAGACTAAAGATCATTAAAGTCCCAGACACCATTTTTTCCCCCAAAGTAATTCACTTAGGAAGGATCTGGGGTACCCTGTAATGATTTGGGGTACCCTGTATCTGTGATTACAAAGAAGAGTTCCCAGGGTGGTACTGCCTTCTATTCTACCTATAATGTCTATGTACTACCACGGTGAGTCATCTACACCTCTGAGATGCAGCCTGAGAGCTACCAGCAGGAGGCAGAATACTGGAGTTTCAAGCATATGAGAAAGGCTTGGGAGACTCATTGGAGTGTTGTAGCCCCACGTCGGTCGCCATTTTTGTTGTTGTATGACTTCTTTGCTCTTTTGGGCTCCTTTTGATCTTTAGGTCTTTTTTGAGGAGCCCGCCACCCAGCTCCCAAACAAATCACACACAGGTTGTTATTATTACTTTTGAATGCCTGGCCTTAGCTTGGTTTGTTTCTAGCTATCCTTCCTTATCTTAAATGAACCCGTTGATATGTTTCCCCTGGGCTTTTATCTTTCTTACTTCTGCATATCTTATTTTCCTTCTTACTCTGTGGCTGGCTGGGTGGCTGAGTGACTGGCCCTTGACATCCTCCTCTCCTGATTCTCTCTTTGCTCCTCCCTTCGCCTTTTCTCCTCCTACTTATCCTCTCTCCCTGCCAGCCACACCTATCCCTGCTCCTGCCCCACTATTGACTGTTCAGCTCTTTCTTAGGACCACCAGGCATTTTAGACAGGCCCAGCAGCACAGATTCACAGACCTAGGCCCAGGGGGGTTTTACACCCACCCAGAAGGCTTGTGACTCATGCTGGTGCTGGTATGGAGGATGTGCAACTAAGAAGAGTCTTTAGGATTAAGGGAAGTAACTGCTGTCTGTCCTTCATACATAATACATGTCCTCTGCCATTGTCCCCACCTTTGGATGGTTACTCAAGATAATACATGAATAAACTGGGTGCTTTTCATTATTAATTGACTGCCCCACTGATATGATCCTATGTCTTTTCAATAATGCCGGATAGCTAGCCTTCCCTCATCCATACTCCCCCAACTCAGGAACAGACCAGGGCTGTTCTGCTGGTTCTGATTGCAGTCCTGAAGACATCAATCCATGACATATGGTCCCTCAAGGTGGGGCTAATACAGACAGGACTCAATACTTTCTGAGTGAGCATTCACTCACAAAGGAAATTGAGATAGATACAGTTGTACAGCATTCTTATGTACTGGTCATGTTTTTTCTCCCCAAAGTTAAGATGTAGAAGTCTCACATTTGGAGATGGACCCTAAAGCAGTAACCAAAGTTCCCTAATAGTGTAGGATTATCTTTAGGGAAAGAAACATCAAGTTCCCTCTTCTTCCCTCCCTCTACACTCTCTCTGCCAACACTGTGAAGAGGCCTCGAGACTCGACCACAGACTTCCAGTTTCCAGATAGTGAGAAAGGAAGACCCGGTTGGTAAATGACAGCCTGTGACATATTGAAATGTCACCCTGAACTGGTGAGGAGAAGAAAATCATAATCCCAGGCTGGCCTGTAACTTGTTATCCTCGTCCCTCAAACACTCTGCGTGTCGGACTTGTAGATTTACTACCACGTGAGGCTTACACACTAGATTTACAAAAAAAGAAAGATAAGAAGAATGCATTCAAAGCTAAGCGATCTGGATGGTGGCAGGAGTGAATAGCCAGTTACAACGCAGGGCTGCATGCATGCTCTGTGCTAGTCTCGTCTCTGTGCTATGAAGCTTCTTCAGAGCGCCCCTGGTCATCAGCAGATCAAAGACAAGGCATTTTTCTCCCATTGTAGTGCCTACTATGGCCTGCTCTTCCTACTGCCCGTCCTGTGTTTTCCAAGCCTGCATCATTCACTCAACAGTTGTCCTGGGACTCTAAACCCATTACCCACAATTGTGTGTGCATTTTCTCTGTACTTAACCCTTGAGCATATATACTTTAACATGTATACTGTATTACAGATTTCCTACCTCTTTGGCCTCTCTGGTTGAACACTGATACAGAACTAAAATCCTAGTGAAAAGGAGGTCAACCTTGGAAATCGAGAAACAGAGATTACATTTATCCATTCCTGTATGCATTTATGCTTGGTGCTGTAGCTCTGCGTCATATGAGAAATGGATCTTGACAAGTTTACATTTAAACAGGCAAGTGCAATAAAAGCTGTCCACATGTTTTCAAGAGAGAGTCCAAGACAGTCACCATCGTTCTACCTAGCTTGGATTTCAAAGGAATGCTGATTGGAGACTGTGGTTTATTGTCTACAGGTACATTAGGGGACAATGAGAAAACTAATCTCTCCTTTGGGCCCCAAGATTCATACGAACAAGTAAAAGGATCAACAGACATGTGGAAGACATTTAGGGGGAAACACGAGGGCTCTAGAGTTTTTAAGCTGTTATTCGTGTCCAACATCACCTATTCACTGTCCGTTACTAAAAATCAGCTCACATTTTGTCCTAGTTTCTTTTCTATTGCTGTAATGATATCTTGACAACAAGCGACTTGCCGAGAAGAAGTTGGTTTCAGCCTGCAATTTCAAGTTATATTCCAACTGTGTGGAAATCGTAGTTGCAGAAACTTGAAGTATCTAGTCACATCATATTCAGTCAAGAGGAGAGTGCAATTAATGCATATGCATGTAAACTTGGTTTATTATTTGTGCTTATCTAGATTTTTCACTTGTCTACAGTTCAGGACCCCCTAAGGAATAGTGTCACCTGCAGTGGGCTGGGTCTTCCTGCATCAATTAACTCCATTCAAACAATCTTCTACAGGCACTCCACAGGCCAGCAAGACAGACATTTCCTCACTGACACGCTTTTCTCCAAGGTGACTGTCCACTGTTCACAGTTGAAGTTAATCATCACACATTCTGATGACAACAATTTCCTAGGTACCCCAAAACACATGTCATCAGCATCTCCTGCTTTCCCCCACTTTTTCCTGGTAACCACAGTGTCCTCTCCAACTGGTCATTGAATCATTTTTGATCCCAGCAAGACTGTCTCTGGAATGAATGCCTTCCTCTGTAGGTCTGCAACCACAGTCGTGAGACTACCAGAGTCCTTCGCTAAGGGTATTTTCATGATCTTTCTGATAATAGATTTCTCTGTCTCTAGATGCTTTCCCCTTAGAATGTCTATGAAACATATTGAATCTTCTCCAACTTCCACCTAAATATCACCAAATTCTTTGCAGAAACATTTAATGTTTCCATCTTTCCTCTGTGTGTGGTGTGTGTGTGTACAGCTGTATGCCTTTTCTTGCATGTATGTACACACAGAAGTGTAGGTACACACAAACATGTGAGTGTATGAATTGAGGTTGATGTTGGGAGTTTCCCCTATCCCTTTCCAACCATATTCTCTGAGGAAGTTCTCCCAGCAAAACCAGAGCTCACTAATATGACTAGTCTCACTAGCTAGCTTGATTTGGGTATTTCCTGTCTCTGCCCTCCCATGCTAGAATTACAGATGGGTGGCCATGTCTTCCTGGCATTTCAGTGAGTTTCTGTGGATCTGAATGCAAGCCCCCAGACTGAGACGGAAAGCATCTAACTGCAGAGCCATCTCCCTAGCCCCAGAAACATTTCAATCTCTTTAACATAATTATAATTACATAGACACCTTTTATTTGTTTTAGGACTACTGTCTCCTAAATGGTCATCACAGCAATACATTGATTGGCATGCAGTACTCTGACTGGCATACAGTTGTGGCTTACAGATGTTAATCAATCAATCAATTAGTTTATGTTTTATCTGTATGCTTGTGGAGTATGTGTGCGCACGCTCATATGCATATAAGATCATGTGTATAGGTACTCACAGATGTTTGAAGAGGGAATCAGGTCACCTGGAGTTATAGGTAGCTGTGGGATACATGCTGTATATGCTGGAGACTGACCTCTGGTTCCCTGCAAGAGTAGAAATAAGTCTTAACCACGGAGTCAAACTCCATCCCTAAGGACAGTTCGTTAAGTGAATAAACTCACATGAACATCATGTAGTACATCTCTGATGGAAGTGTAACACTCTCTAATGTCTGTGTATGGTATCTGTGCGCACGTGTGTGCACAACTGAGATCAGGGTGAGTGTGCATGGATGTGAAGGTCAGAGGTCAACATCTCCTCAGTCTCTCTCTGCCTTACCTTCTAAGTCAGAGTCACTAAACTTGGAGCTCACCAGTTCAGGTAGAATGGCTAGTCAGGCAGGCCCCAGGGGATGCCCCGCCTCCACTTCCCCAGTGGTGGGATGACGGTGTGTATCTCTGTGTCTGATATCACATGGTCAGATGAGATCCCCCTTCCCCAGTGGTGGGATGACAGTGTGTATCTCTGTGTCTGATATCACATGGTCAGATGAGATCCCCTTCCCCAGTGGTGGGATTGCAGTGTGTATCTCTGTGTCTGATGTCACATGGTCAGATGAGATCCCCCTTCCACTGAGAGCATTTTTCAGTGTCACCATCTTCCCAGCCCCCACCATATTAGGATTATTACCCAGACTTTCACACTAGCCCAGGCATTTCTTTCCTCTATGAAGCACAGCAATTATAGCTAACATTTCCTAATATTTCACATTACAACTTTCATTTCAGAGAATATTCCAGTCACTATTAGTAAATTATCTTCATTAAACCATAGGCCAACCCAGGAAACCAATCAAATTATTGTCATGATATATCTGATAGGATTTTTTTTTACATCCCATTCTAAAAATTTCTTTCTAAAATGAGGTCCATTTGGTTTTGTATCACAACCAATCTGCAATGAATTGTAGTGACCACTTTTCTTTTAATTTTAATCTCCTATTTGTCTCTACCTCCTGTAATAAACACCCTGACTTTAACCAAACGGCCTTGTTGGCTTCTTAAAAATAAATGGATGCCAACTTTTATCCAAGTGCACTGGAGCTGAGGTCGCTTCCAAAGTTATTCCTAACGTTCAGCCATTGTGGGGCAGTCACCAGTAATAACGACAGCTTGTTCTCCCTGTGTCTCCAGGGAGTTGGACTTGGCTATTGGAAGCCACACAGACACTGGAGACACACAGTGACAGAATAAACATTTCAATGTCATATTTTTCAAGGAGAATTTATTTACCGAGAGACCAATGAACCGAGTAGAAAGAGCAAATTAGGATTTTTGTTTTTAAATTTACAAGAATATTAAAGGGCCAAGAGAGGTGGCGAGAGAAACTATATAGGGACTAAATATGGAACATTTTGTATGGAAAAGAGAGAGGATTTTAGAACACTTTTTGGGAGGGAAAAATAATAGATATTTTTAACACTCAAGAAAATGTGTGCTTGGGGCCTGAAGAGATGGCTCAGTGTTTATGAGCACTTAGAGCTCTACCAGATGGGCTGGGTTCAATTCCCAGCACCGCACTCAATGGCTTACAACCATTTCTAAGAAATCTGATATATTCTTCTGAACTCCCAGGGCACTGGGTACATGCTTGGTAACCACATGTACATGCAGGCAAAACTCTCAGACATATAAAATTAATCTGAACAATACTTTACAAAAGAAAATACAGGCTTCAATGATGTTTCTAAAATTATTGACCGCATTGTGACGACAGCAGCCACACTCTGTTTTCTGAAAAGTAAGACGGCTTTACGGCATGAGCCTGTGGTAAGAGTTATGATAGAAATATAATGCACATGCCACAGGCAGAGGGCGAGCAGATGGGTAAGGGGTGCAAACTGGCAGATAGACATAAGTGACACAGGCCTGCTCAGAGCTCTTGTAGTCAAACAAGGTCCAAGCTGGGGAAGTAGAGGCTCATCTGGGAGATAGAATAAGACAATGGAATCCAGACAAGCTTGTGGGAGAGGGGAAGTAGGATTTCGTAGTCAGGGTAGAGGCTTGTTTTTCCTTTCCTGCTCCTGTATCTGTTTTCTTACAAAACAGACATGCTTAGAAAAGACGCCCGGATGGTCCTTCACATAAAAACCTGAGTTACTTCGGTTCACAAGAGGACACAGAGGCAAACGCGGCACCAATAACCGAACTGACGACAGATTTGAACACAAATTCCCACATGTTAGAAGAAATCTCCTTCTGGTTCCAAATCATGGTGTCTGGTTACTGGAAAAGATTTAGTGGCGACAGTGTAAACCCCTGGAAGGTTACTGTCTTACCCAGTGAATAGCAAGGAAGGCAAGGACTGTATTCTGAGTTAGACATGCTGGATTTTTAAAACCACACACACTAATCCTCAATGTTCCTCAAACTGAGAAAGACAGAAATGTATTGTGGGAATCCTATCAAAAGAAGTCCCAGCTAAATTAGGCTTAAAGTTGTCTTGCCTGTAAAATTGATCCTCGTTGTAACTAAGTACGTTTTAGCTGGGGAGAAGATGCCTCCCCCCATGGTACTTTAATTAAGTCATACAAAATAAAAAGTTGTGTATGCTTTGTTTAGACATTTTCATGACATGGAATTATAGACTGACGTCACCAGATTGTATGTGTGAAATGGGTTTTGAGTTCAAGGCTCCAAGATTCTTTAAACTTTTGACTCAGTTTCTATGTCATCACTGCTGGATTAAGGTCTCTGGCTGGGCAATGCACCTCTCCTCACAAAAATGCGGCATTTCAACAACATAGCTATTGCAATTATTGATGGGGGAAAGGTTTCTCATTTTAAACACTCACCACAAGTAGGCCATGGGAGGGGGGTGGGCAGAGAGACAAAGGTAGCAAGTGGTTTGTAATTTATCTCCTATTAAACATGACCCTTACTAAAGCCAATATTAAAATGGAATGTAAAAATTGGTTTGGTCCAAGTAACACCTTTGCTGAGTCAAAAGTCAAAAAGCAGTTTCACAACCACTGAGATGAAGAATCCATTTTGGCTCAGGATAATCACCAAAACAGTAAGATTCCAGAAACGTCTGTAAAATGGTGGTAGTATGACCATTTTAATGTTAGTTGATCAGACAGGTCTGGCTGCTATGAGAAATTAGTGCAAACTCTTCATACGACAAGTAGCCTCAGGATCGACGTCCCTGTATCTCATCTGTATGCCATGCTATTCTGTGAAGCCTGACAAACGCAGAGACAAGGCAGAAGCCACAATGGTGTTCCTTAAAACCTGGATGTCACTGCTACTGCAACACTCCTTATAAGCTTTGTAAAGTCCCGCATACTGTAGCCAACATTCACAAAATATTTGTCGAGAGAACGAATTTACTAGGGAATGTATATTTGCTTCGATGCTCACTGGATGTCAAACTCCAAAACTATGAATCTTAGGCCCTTATAAACATTATAATTTCTATTATGAATAAATAAGCTCTGGTACTCTTAATAAAAAGTTAAGGCAAACAATCTATTCCACTCACACACGCTCTTATCTATGACACATCCTTTTAGACGAGACAACTTTGGGAATTTTCTACTCTGTTGTTCAGCTTCACAACGTCTTTGGATACACGCTGAGAAACAGAATGCTCAGAGCAGCCAGTGTTCCACGGGCTGTGCCAAAATTAAACGTATTTCTTTTCTATAAGCTTAAACACTTGAAAAGAGAACTCAGTCTCATCCGAGTGAAGACCTAAAATCTGAAGTGTTTGGAGATATGAGTGTCAACACACATGGCTTCGGGAGGCTGCTCTTTATTAGGGAAAGGTCGGGAACAGAAACAGCTGCTTTCTTAAAGCTCTGATGAACTGAAAGTTTCCTTCTCTTTCGTTTTGAACAGATTCTATTTAATCCCAGCAAACCATTTACAGTCGTTCTCTAAAAGAGTGCGCTTTAAAGGCAATCAAATTATTCTAAGGGAAGCTGAGGAAAACTCAGTGTGATTGCATCCGGCCAGCATTTGGACATAACCATGCACACGCATTTCCATACACACAGGGGCTTTATAAGTAACTGAGGTAGTTGCAACATTGCACCTCAAAAATCTTTGGATTTTTAAAAGTAGTTTAATGTTTGAGCCTTCCCGAATTTCCCCTTTCAAAAAGAATTTTTGATATGTGAGGTTGAAGGGTATTTGCACAATTAAACATGTTTCCCCCATGCCTTTAAAGTGTCAGTTACTAAATTCACATCAGCTAATATCCAAATCAGGTGCAACTCAATTTTATCAGCTAGGATGAAGAATGTTGGATTTCTCAAGTCTTTGCAATAGGCTGCTAACATAATGACTATCATAAAGCTGTAGTATGACACATATAAAAACCACAATAGCTTCATAACAAATTTCAAATGGCTGCCTTGTACAATGTAAGTGTATGTGTACCTAAGGGCTCTCAATAGATGATGAGTCTACATTCTCAAACATGGCATGTGCCAGAGAAAGTTGAAGGATCTGAATTATCTAAAGGACAGCCAAGTCTGGCATTCCTTCTTCACATACCTACTCAAGGAAACATTACCAGCAGATGTAAGAGCCATCAAAACTAAATTTACTGTTAAATACAATCATGCTAACAGAAAAATCAGGAGCATCATGCCTGGTCATTCTTGACAGGGTTTCTCTGTGTAGCCCTGGTTGACATGGAACCTATGGACCAGACTGAGCCTTGAACTTGCAGAGATCTATCTGCCTGCCTCTGCCACCCAAGTACTGAGATTAAAGGAATGAGCCACCACTACTGCCGCCCGGCTTTGCTTAGATATTCTTTTTTTAAGGTGATTGCATGAATACACTTTGAAATTCTGTTGTTTTTCAGAATTTTTTTCCAAACAAGCTGGAACGCTACACGAGATAAACATACCAAACTAAGATGCAGGAGAGAACAGCATGAAGAATCCTATCCCTAATTCTCACCATCACTTTGAAACAGACTTTATCACCAAACTACACACTCGGATTACCATGTGAAATTAAAAATAGCCTTCTTACAAATTTTAAAATGTAATGAACAAATAAGTAATTCAGTTTCTTTAAATGTCCAT